CTTCTCGCAAAGTTCATCCATGCAGTCTTTGTCTCTAAGTTGCAATTGAGAAGCGAAGGTCAAGAACTTAGTGAAAAAGGCTGAGAAGCTGTCATCCCCTTGTCGGAGTTTCTTGAAGTTGGCACGAGCTTCGGAGCGCTTCTGTCCTCGGGTCTTGCCATAGGCTCCTCGCCTAACATCGACAATGGACATTGCAACAGTGATGTGGTTGACGCTTTCTGGTTCGAGGTAGGGTTTGATGAATTCCTGTGAATTACCACCAATAAAGTCCAAGAGATAATTGACCTTATGGTTTTCATCATCAAAGTAGACCAAATTGCCGTTCAACTTGCGCTTAACAGCGTGTTCCCAGTTCTCGAAAGTAGGATTATGAGAACCAGTGAAGGAAGGGGGCCTCTTAATCTTCTGGAATTGGCAGACTCGCTTAGCCTGTTGGTTACGGACATCTTGTCGGAAAATTGGTATGGGTTTGATGAGTAAGGCGGCTCAAAGAATATGGGCGCAATTTTATGAATAGAATAATAATGATATGAATCAGGAGAATATGTGATATACTATGGAGAAATAAAAGATGGGTTGAATGAATTGAATTAATTAGATTATCTGTCTTGGTGATTCCTAGACAGCTTATATACATGTAATCTTGATAGACCAAATCTAGACTAGATACTATCCATCACTCGTTCCATACTCTAACAATTACAATGAAACGCACGACAGTATACAACATGAGTATGGGGTCAGGGTCGGTGGATGAAAGCCTACACGTGTATCAGACCATACCATGCACTAGTCGAGTCTCAAGCATCAAATATTCTCAGTAAGGGAGATATCAATCATCTAGGTTGTTAGTCAGGCCGTGAGTCATGTGTGAGAATCTTAGTTGTTCCAATCATGGGGAAACTTCAGACATATAGAGTCTGAATTTCCAAAACATCTTTGTTGCCTTGTGGTGTCTCTGAGGCCTCACAGCCGGCGGCGTCTTTGTCAAATATGCTATAGGCAGCAGATCCTTGCACCGATTTGGATTCCCCCTTCTGCTTACCCTTATCCTTGGCTTTAAGATCTAGAGTGACCTCTGCAAATGCAGACTTCCAGCGTTCGGCCTTCTCTGCCCAGGATTGTGCCATTTTCTCTGCCTCTGCCTTCTGGTCCCGTGTATCTCGAAGGTAGTTGCTGATCTTGTTGGCGCAATCAGCCAGGGCGGTACACATAGTCTTGAGGATATATTTGTGGCGTTATTGATCAGTCTCATTCTTGACTTCAGCAGCGCGGCGTTTGTTTCTCTTGTTGTAGTCTTTGTGCAACATGTCAAAAGTGATTTTCTGATACTACAGAGCATCAATCTTCGTAGTGTTGTCCTCCTCTTCCCCGGGTGCGCGGGTGGTGTACACCGAGGTTAGTGTCACGGATCAAGGAACAGGCGCTGGTGCAACTATGTGGTTGATAGTATGTAAATTATCATTCTGAAGAGAAAACTACTTCAGTCTCTATCTATACTTATATACACATTGTCTATGTGGTTGAGGCACAGTCCCTCCCTCTCGGTTCCAATGGGATTCTTTACATGTGTTGTAGCTGTATGGTCCAATACTGCTGCCCTGCCGAACTAGATGCCGATGCCTTGATATTCTGTTGAGTGGCATCATATATCCACACATTGATGTCGATCAATCGTGCGCTACCAATATCAGGCTAGGCTCATGTTGGCCAACATGCGCTACAGGAACCAATCGGCTTACCAGCCGTTACAGTTAGGAAGTCTTCCTTCGGCCACTCTTCTGGCATCTTCTGCTATCCTTTATTAGCGAGACAATTAGTCAATGACTTTCCAGATTATTGCAAGCAAAACGCTGTCCACAGATTACTGAGTCTAAAAGTAGTAAATTACCTCTCTGCAGAGGTCGCCTTGAGTAGTTTAGGGAGCTTAGTATTTTATCATGACATAGAATAGGCACAAGTGAATGTACAGCTTGTATAGCAATAATTCAATCTGTGAAGCAAATACTAAGCTGGAGAAGAATAGAAAAGAATAGAATCTAAGTGTAAAAAGCCCCGAGGCTATTCCTATTTGGGCGTCCCGCATCAGCCATCAGTCTCCTTCATCCACGTGATCATATCTCATGACGGGGCAGAATGCCGTGCTGTGACAGGGAGGGTGTGACAGAAAAAAGTTGGTGATGAATAAATCAATTCAATAAACTCTATGAAGAAGAGAATGTTGTAATTAAGGCAGCAACATGACTGCAGAAGACAAAAAGTACACATTTGCAAACATTATTGGCTCAATCTTGTATTACAACTAAATCACTAAGGTTCTTTATCTAGGCTCAACCTGAAAGACCGCCCTTTGTAACGGCTGGTAAGCCGATAGGTCCCTGTAGCCTATGTTGGTTAACTTAGGCCTGATTAGAGTGGCGTTATTAATGGCCACCAATGCGCTAATATGCGACGCCACCCAATGCAATATTTTTGCGTAGGCATTTGCATGGTATTCACATGGCATCGGACTCGGCAGTGCGGCACGGCAGTACGGCACTGCACCACATGTTGATAGGCTTACACTGACTGGGAATATACGAGACCGAGTACAATCCTTCCGGACCATAACGCGATAGTGCTGTATTACAGGCATAGTCAGAACACTAGGGGAGTCCCATAGCATCGGAACAGGAGAGGGATTAGCCTTGGTGGCGAGGAGGCTTTCATGTGTATAAATGAATAGATAGATGGAGTGGAAGTTCTCTCCTTAGAATTATTATTTACTACCATTGACCACATAGTTGCCCCAGCACTTGTCCCTCGAAACCGTGACACCCTTCTTATGTGTATGTATGCACGGATCACCTTGGATGCCTGCATAACTCCCAGTCCTTATATATTACATGACTGCATAACTAGAGTTGACTATAGTTGTTGTAATTAAGGCAGCAACATGACTGCAGTAGACAAATAGTACATATTAGAATAATATGCACTGGCGCCATGAGATATGATTAACCCATATCATCACTCACTGGCATGAATAGTAATTAGCCAATAGATGCCTGACAGCATACATTGGCTTCAGGATCTCCAACAACCTTCCCGTTTAGGTTAGATTAGGGAGTATGTTGGAGTTCACACTAGTGTGCGGAAAACCCCGCTTTCATGTATATAGAGGGACTTCTTGCCACACATATAGAATTACAGCAATCCAATCACAATTAACTATCTATTTGTCACGGACTGACTGATATGGAGATTTATCCTGCCAAACTCTGGCTCTAAGACTATATGGCTACTGCTATGTCATGGATAGATTCATGGTGTTGAGGTAGAGTCTGGTCCTAGCTTCGGCTGGTATTCCTCTAAACAAGTTCTAGTTACTTTGATGGAATTCTAAGCTACTCTGGCAATTAGTTTCGGGATGTTTCGGGATGGTATTTTGTACTCTTACCAGTTCAATGGGCTTCGATCAGATTCTAGGTCACTCTCAGGAGTTCGACAGGAATCGGGCTGGAACTTGATTACTGTAGTCTGTAGCAGATAGTGTCGAAGTATAAGTAGCTGAGGTATCTTCATGTCAAAAGCTCTCCAGCTTTCAGTCTTGTATTATTCCCTAGATACCCAAGAATCAAGTCTTTATTGTTATTATATTTTCTTTACCATCAAGAGCCCAAGATTTAGCGCCTCCAGTTCAAGTTAAGTAACCAAGTTCCAAGAGATCCTGACACCATTAAATATCAGTAAACTTCTTTGTATAGTAAACACATTTATTGTATCTCTAAATAAAACTCGAGGCTAGTACGTAACTCTTCCAATCTCTGGAACTGATTTCAATTGAGAAATCTTACTACAGCTACAAGGTGTTGTAATCGAAGTTGTATAGGGAAGCTTAAGCTGTTGGACTTGTGTTTGATATCACCTAGTGAAGCGAGTTGGGAGATTGAAGAGTCTGAAAACTATAGTTGAGAGTTGTTGATTAAACCCACTTAGTATCAGAGCGCTATTTAAACCAATTACTACACCTAAGTGAAGGACACAATTCACTTGTTTATGCTAAATAATTGGGAGGCTGGTCAATTTATGAGCCTTCATGAATGTGGCTAGTGATAATATAACCTTATTACGCTCTGTATTAATGCGACTCTTACCACATCTTTAATATTCATAGACTCAAATAGGATGTAAATTTAATTAAAAAAAATGCGACTCTTCATTGTCAAGTAGCGCCAATTTCAACACAAGGGACTTATAACATTCAGTCCACTCTATGAGTCTTGTTGTTTACACCCTTTCCTCAAGTCGAATAATTACCGCACAGCTACGCAATGCCTGTATTCACTGTGCTATGACATTACTTCAATCCCAAAAGTCTTGTCATCAGAGTCCTCAAAAATGGGCTTAGGTATTTGCCTATGTCACAGGCTCATGCCTGGTTATGATCAGGCTGCTGCCTAATAAATAAGGCTTTAACTCTTCCAACTTTCTTAAACACCTAATGTGTCATGAACCCCTCCACAACTCATTAGACCTAAGAATAGGCCTCGGCCCAGTCCATGAAAATCTATTCTTAAACGCCAAATTTAGATTGCAGACATGATGACTCAACTACTAGTTGTGAGTCATCTAAGCTACATGCATCATGAACTATTTTAATAACTAAATTGCTAACATTAAAATGAAGCTAAATTAAAATAGATGGAGAGGCTGGTGTTTGTTGAAGGACAGGTCATGATCTAATTTGAGAATGGTATGAAATGAGGGAACGAGGCCATAGTCTTGTAAATAAATAGGAGCCTCTCAGTGTTGAAATTGTACCGGCAAATAACGGCCACTGTACCGAAGGTGCAAACCCATGCCTAGCGCTGCAACATGCACATCTACTGCTCGCCACCAAGCTCCGGGCGCGGGAGCGCCCATGTAAAAACTATACATAGAAGCGATCGGGGTAGCGACACCATAAGCCCCTGGAATATAAGCGCTAGCCGTAAGAGGTCAGATACTGCTCAGCGTATATGCAACAGCATCGAGTGTACAGGTATATCTCGAGTGCCCCTAAAGTAAACCAGTATGGTCGCCCCTGGATCAGCTATTCAGGGGCGCTTAATTACGGTACTGAGCTGCAATTACAGGGGCAGTGATGCAACTGGCAAGCAGAGGATATACACGAGCCGCAGGAGCAGGAATGGCCGCTCATGAACCGTGGATTCATGAGCGTTAGATTGGTTGTGTTATTACTATGGATAGTCAATCAAGAGATGGAACTAAGACTATAACATGGGTCATATAGATGTATATAAGATAGCATATGTTCACTCTTCTGACAGTATTGAAATCTGTCAAACACATCCTCTACACACTCCAATCAGATATAACAAGTGACAAGTAACTATATTCCCATATGACTCATAACCTTAACACTCAGTCATGTCTCTGCTCGTTACTTTAAGACTTTCATTTGTATCTAGCTTTGAGTTTATTTTGAATAAAACATCAACTTAAAGACTGTCACAGCCTAAACTTAAACAACAGTTAAAACATAACAGAGGAATATTTAGTAGGCATTCTGGGTGACTTGAGTTTGGCAGATTATGGTCTTGTATTCTTAGGAACTCTTTAGAAATTATAGAATCTTGTCTTATGTCAAATTTTTGAACTTTCGAACTTTCGAACTTTCGAACTCATGGACCCTTGAACCCTCGGAATCTGAGTCCCTCTCATACTCTTGACAAGCATCAAGCAGAGATTCTGAGCAGCTAGGCACCTTGAGTTATAATTTACCCCAGACTGACATGGTCCTGTGTAATTTGAATCATAATACAAGCTGTGCTGCATCAAATTTTATCATTTCTGTTTGTAGCAGCTTCTTAGTTGAGTTGAGGGCAACTACCTTACTGATTGCAGTTGCTAGCGCTTTCCTCATTATGCTGTAATAATCTCTTAGCTTAGATGTAACAAGTTGGGTTACATCATAGTTAACCACAAAAAATCCTTCTTTTAGTAGTATTTTTCTCACATATGGACCATGAAGTTAAGGGAGTTATGGAAATAGGAATGGAATGGTACATGCAAATATGAGTAGGTATTACGGCTGACCTCAGGTTGACACTAGAAGACTCCTTCGAAAGATGAGAGAATTATTGCTTTGTATTTGGACCTAAAGCTACGCTCAATAACTAAAAGAAAAGACAAAGAGAAGAAGAGGCTTCCCGCCTTGCTGAGTTGATAAGCCTAATAGCTCGCATCCGGGACCAATGCTCACTCATCCAGAATCTCCACCACAGATATCAGAAAACCAAGACTTCTAATTACGAGTTGTAATAGTATCTGTGTCAATACTGCTTGTAGATTGCCACAGGATCTACATTCTGTATAATGGGAAGGGATGTTACATGCGCCATTTGGGCTGGCAACATCTGATTTCCTGCAAAAGAATGTAGTGATGACATCATTGTCTACAACTGAACATATTCATTATTGGGCTCATATATTCTGGTGTCCCTCTAGTTATTCAACCATTCAATCCTCTTGGTTCTCATTGTTGAAGCTTTGTCGTGGAGTGATAGATATGAGAGTGAGATTTATGGGTCACAATGTATGAGATAACTGAGGTGCGGATGTATGAGTTCCTTACTATTGTTGTTGTACTAGTTAGGGTTGTATTGTCTACATACAAAAGGGATTTCTCCATCTACAAGTGGGCCAGATTGCTTAGATCTGGCTAGCGGCTTTCGCCATCCTCTTCCTTCTCCCCCGCATGGCATCACGTGCTATACAACTACTGCTCACCATGAAGTCCGAGGATGAAAAGCGTTGGATTACAACACCCATCACAAATATGGCTGCTGCCTTACCATCTCCAATATGGTAACCAGAGTGCTTTGGCGCAGCATGCAGCGGTAATGCATCCGCTGCGTTATTGACGCTCTGGATACCTGCTAGATATCTGTCAATATAATCATCAGCAGTGGTCATGAATCTGATCAGAAAAAAAATTCGAGAGCTGTTGCATACAGTGCTGTAGCAGTTTCATGTCAGGCGCAAGCTGCCGTATCAAACAGCTCTTTTACTGTCATATTATCATAATTCCAAGGGCATGTTGATGACAAAAGCCTACTTATAATCACGTTCTTGGCCTCAATCTCCCCAAGTGTCAAACTCGAGGGTACCAGGGGTTGTGTTTTATAGATAACTTAGAAGTGCGAGTGAGATCTGACAAGATTTGTCATAGACTAAGGTATTAATTCGGGATTCTAGCTATAACTGAGGACAAGGGACAAGAGAAACTAGGACAAGAGACAAGGTCAATGGAAGACGGAAAACAAGACGTGGCCCTCTACATTGGCTCTACCCAACCCATATATACATCATAGTAGCCAGAGCAACTAAGGCTTCAAGGGGTGCGCCTGCTGCTATTCTATTACTTCATTTGTAACCCATAGCAACCATTGTAACCCGGTAAACGCTCTAAGATGAGAGAATATTCAGATGTAGTGTAGGGAAAGAATATGAGGGTGCTGCTCTATTCTCAGTTCCTGACACCAAGTAATCATTGCTCGAGTTCAATTTCATGCTCGGTAGACAGGTTAGGGAGATCTTGCTATAATCCTAGTTCGTGCAAAAATAATGCAGAGACGTGCATGGTCTAGGTCATAAACTAACATAGCAGCTGTACCTACACAATTGAGGTAATCTACATAGTGGTTGTAGAGATTGGTTGACAATCAGGATGTTGAGAAGTGATAGCAGTGCACGGAACAGCTTCTCATGTATTTAGACAGGTAGTCAGGCACTGCCCCCAAAAGTGTCCAACATTGATCACATCATTATCCATCATACTTCAGCAAAAAATAATCCCTCCTAAATTTTACATCTCAGTTCTTCTGCATTATATCACAATTGACTCTAAGTCCATCCCAATAATATCTCCAGTGCTCATCATTCACAACAAATCTTCGGGGCTAATATTACTAGAGCTGGCATTGACAGGGGCGTGAACTGGTTGTAGTCCAGGCATGTTGTGGAATACGTATTAGCGTGATTTTTGCATAGCGGAATTATGTTGTGGTTATGAACTGTGTGGTGTATGGCAATTATGTCTCTGCTGTCTGTCAGTGGAGTGGTACGGGCTCATGTGCAATGGTGAGTTGCAGAGATGGCGCACTCACGCTGGGTGATAGCACAATGGACACTGAGTGCATATCACTGTGGCCAAATGGGTGTCAGTAGGTATCAAATATGAACTCTTACTGACAGTGGTGATCTATGAAGGCGATGCTAGATGTGCATCCCGAAAATTGACAATATCATCTAATGGATGATGTGAAGTATGATATTATGCTAATAAATTGATTCACTAAACTCGGCAGGTGAAGACATTGTAGAGTACATGAACAGCGTCTGTGCACCAGCCTGTATTTTCCACCCTTTCCTAATCTAGCAGCCAATCCTTTGTTCCCCTGTCTCCTAGCAACTCAACCGAGCTAGCAAAACAAATTGCCCGGGCTCATAACCTATTGTAGTTGCGAGCTTAGGTTAGTATCACTGTGCATGCTGACCTTGTAAGAGTATGTAGATCAATGAGTTTGGGTTGTGGTTGAAGGTGTATCTGAGGTTCACTGTACTTAATTGTTCTATACTAATTATGTGCCAAGCACTTGCTACCCATTCTCATGTGCGGCCGCTAATTGGTGTCATAGGCTAGAGCCTAACTGTCAGGATTGCCTTCTGTATAATCTATATATCTGGAGATAACCATGACCTAGAGCTCTTTGATTCTGGTCTGGCCTTTTGGCCGAGTGGTTGTGCACCTATCTCATGCACAATGTAGGATGGCACCCTTTAGCCTGAACACCATCTCTTTGACCCATGTCTCTGCCCTGCTGTCTACATGCTACTTTGACACTAACTCAGCTCAGGCACAAGCCTGAGGCATTTGAATATTGGACCCTTAGCATAAGATAGGTCTGAAGGATGTTGGGAGACCTAAACATCCAGCATCATAATAGTTGATTGGTCAGATGATTAAGTGGTGATAGAGCTAGCTCGAGTGGATTGCAAAGAAGCCGAGCACCTAGGCACCTGGGCAAGAGATTCCCCCACATCCTGTTCTTCATATTATTCACTTTACTTTCATAACTCGAATCCTTGGCTTAAAGCTAGATCATTCATATAGTGGGCTCCCCCAGTCAATTTCCTCTCCAGTTTAAGATTCTTTTTTGTACTTAGATCTAGATAGTTCGTGAATAACATCTATCTTACGACCCTTACATGTTCCTGCACCTGCTTGAAAGAAGTGCCATTTGGAGGTGCCAATAGAGGCAAAGATGCGAGCCCTAGATTATCACAGACATGGCCACCTGCTCCATATTCCAAAAGTATCTCATTCTGTAACAGATGGTCAATAATAGTGGTGTATTTATATCATTCAACAGATGTAATAAATTTCCTGCTGTTGTAGTTATCTCTCAGATTTTCATAATTGCTTGCAGAACCTGAACTACTTTTTGAAAATGTTGCTTGGACGTAGTCTTTGAGCCGTATTGCAGTCCAAGTCGAATTTTTAACAAATGTTCTGAAAGGTCAACAATTGCATGCCCTCTTGAATTTTATCACTATATCTTTGTTTCTGACAAATCCATGCTAAGCTTTTCCCCCTGCAATTTAATGGCTACAAAGCCGGTATTTCCTGTAGCTAGTACTGGCAAGTACTGGTGTACAACCACCGGAGAACAGGTAGGCGCAAAAGCCACGTAAAAGATACTAGAACCTCTAAAGGAGAAACTCGAAAAGTCTCCATGTGAGTAAGACTGATACTGAACCTTGGAGAAGCTGCAAGAAATGATACCCTTACAGTAGCAACTGGAATCATCTAGAAATGAGCTGATCGTGGATGGAAGAACTTAGAATGTAATAAATCTGTACATATACCTGGATTAGTATGTAGAACTGTTGGAAATACAGTTTCCTGCTTTTCTTTCTATCGACCAATGTGGTTGCATGCATCTTGCCTAAACTATATTTCTGAGTTCGGGCAGGATCCCACACTTCTGATCCAATCGGACTCAACGTTAGAGTCTGCTTGAATCCCATTCTTCCCGAACAAATCCAGTCATTGGTTTGTTTGTACTTCTATTGCGTGACCCAGTATTCTCAGTCAGTGGATAATTATTTTCTGGTACGGGGTCCCACTTATTTCTGCAGTCGAGTCGGTTCCAGGTAACCTCTATTTCTTATAATTCCACTGTATATATCATAATACCTGTAGTCTATTAGTAAATTAAGCAAACTGAACTTCTTCTCCTTGCTGTGTAGTTCCGCATAGACAGGGCCTTTGTTAACCTGGCTGTTATTGTTCTTGATTTTGAAAAATTTTGACTGATTTATGTTTATATTATCTGTTGAGCTTTGTTCTCGACACTGCAGACTGGTTGAAAAGGCCGAGAGTTCAGTTTTCGAGCCAAACTTGTTTAGCTGCCAAAATTAAGGGAATTCAATCCAAATTCCAAAATACTCTATGGATAATTTATTTGAGAGTTTCAAAATTTCCATTCTTTTGCTTGTCATCCACATTGGAAGAAGTGAGTTAGCCCCAGTGAGGAAATCTTGGGTTAATTAGTAGTTACTGAAATCAGCAACCTTTAATCTTTTGATCATTATTTCTAGGCGTTCCCATTCCATTAACCAGACGTCTACATTTTTGTGTGTATGTGGAATTCGGGCTTTAGCATAGTTGTCAATTAATATTAGTTGTCGTATATCTTCTGCCGGCTCGAGCCTATTTTTGCTCTCAATTTACCAATCAGCCTACATGTCACGGATTCTAGGACAGGTGCTGGAGCAACTATGTGGTTGATGGTAGTAAATAATTCTAAGGAGAGAACTACTAAAGGATCTATCTACACAAATATATATATAAAAGAGCCTCATGTTC